ATATGTATATAAAAAAAAATTAAAATTGTTGGGGGGCCGTGGCACCCGTAGGTCCCCTCTTGGCTCCGTCCTTGGTTGATAGCCAATTCACAAAACACATTGGGGCAAGACTCTTGCTTTAAAGATCATTCAAGGTGATGAGGGAAAGCACTCTAAGAGATTATGTAGATATGTTGTTGCTAATTGAAACTAATGGCAACAAAATAATGGTAAAACCAAAGTTTGTATATATATTTGTGCACGTAAGAAGAATTTTGGCCGTGTGGAGGAAACTAATGTAACTGAATTTAAAAAGTTAAGCTTAGAAGGCAGTTATTTGGAGTCATGGGTAGAGATACCAATGCCATGTTCATTATTACTTGGGACGCACTTGTGTCATAAAACAGAGAATCTTGGAGATGTTTTCTTATATTGCTACTTGAAGATATTGACAATATTAAATATATAGGTTGGAATTTTATGTTATACTACCCAACAGAGGAAAATGTTAGTGTGCATATTATATAATAAACTCAATGCAATAATTATGTTTTTTCTCTCTCTTGATCATGTGTGTTGACAAGGCTTAGTTAAGGTGTTAAAGGAAACTATACCCATAACAAATTATAAGTTCTATATCAAATATATGTATTATTAAAGTTTTAAAATTAATTCACTATGGTTATTTCAAGTGCAACTTTAAAGCTTTAAGAATTTTTATGACGGTAATTATGACTAAATCAATCACATTTATTCATAATTTCTTGTGATATCACTGTAAAATTGTGATAACCACAATTTAAAATCCTGTATATGTTGTTAGAATATCTTATAACATCACATCTATCTAGTCATATAAATCTGATAATGTTTAATCTCTATTCTATTATTTTCTTTTCCTCCCTTTATACCTAATATCTCGTAATTTTCAACACAAAAACTTCAATAATGTTGGCTTTTAAGGGAACAAATTTGAAGACTTGACCCGGAATGTTATTCAGAGAGTCAACACAATTATTACATGATGAATGAGACTATGAAAATCAATGCAAGAACTTTTGATTAGCTAAAATAGTTTTAACCAAAAAACCTTAATGCATGTCATATTTAATGATTCCGTTGTATTATGATACATACTATGTTATGATTAAAACTTTTCTGTTTTGCCATTGCTACATGATTTAATTCTTGTGTAGGTGTATTTAGTGCAATGTAGTTATGAATTGGTTTATGAACAGGCGTGATTTAGGTGTGCATTCCAGATCTGATTTGGGACATGTCATTGAGATTTCCAGTCTATTTAGTGTGCATTTCTAGTCAAGTTTGCTACCAGATTAGTTTGGTGCACAATTTCAGTATAATTTTTCAGTTTTGGTGGAAGTCTAGTTTTATTGTTTTATTTGGTATAGCTCTACCCTTATCAGATTTTATTTTGCTATGGTTTGATTTCTTATATGTCCGGTAAGCTTCTAGCTTTGGTACGTTGCATTTCTGGTATGTCAAATGTTAAACTGTATTCATCTTATATATGTTTATGATCTCTAACGGAAATTAGTTATTATTTCTAATCATAAATATTTCTTATTAATATTATAATTAAAAATAAAATATTTATGATAGAAGATGTCAAATAACTTGAAAAAGAAAAAGAACCTAAAATTGATCAATAATGCTTTGAGGGTCAGCTAGATCCATCATTTATTTGTGTGGCTTTTTATACGGTTAAAATATTTAATGGTGTTCAGTATGATGCAACGATTGAATTTGTGGTGTCCAAAGGACTACTGCAGTTGTTGTTGGTCTATTGGGTGCTACTGTAGGCGCGACAAATGGCCCTATTGATCCGGATGAAAATCTTCTACTTTTAAAACAACTATAGTTCAATTCTAAAATCCAATGCTTTAAATTCATTTAAACTATGATCAATATTTTCATGTCGAGAAATATGTTAAGTGAAAAAGTGATTGCAGCCTCTTAGTTATGATTGATGTATCCATCATTTACTTGAATCATAACTATTTGATAAATTAAAATATCTTATTTATTAGTTAAAAATATTTTTTTTAGAGAAAATAATATGAGAGAACTTCTATAAAGTGTAAATTAATTTTAACTTATCAAATTTTTATTTTATTTTATTTATATTTTCTTTTCTTGTAAATATTTGTAAAAATATTTGTCTAAATATGTGTTTAAACAACTTTATATACTTAACCCATGTTATAAATAATATATACATTCTCATATATATATATATATATATATATATAGTGACAAACTTTCTAAATCTCAATGTCCTCAAAATGATAATGATAGAGTTGAAATGAAAAAAAATTCATATATTTTTACTGTTGGTAGTTTGATGTATGCTCAAATTTGTACTCGTCCCGATATTATTTTTGTTATTAATATTTTAGGAAAATACTTGAGCAACCTAGGTTTGGAATCTTCTCTCAAGTTATACAAGATCAATAAGAATAAATTTTTCATTGATTTTAAATACACAATTCTTTCTAAACCTTACTCAAACATACTATAATATTGTGTTTTATGTTGTTCATTTTTTCGTAATTACTATGATTTTTTAACAACTTATTCCTAAAAGACAAAGAAAGTCAGGATTCGAAACAAACTTCAATTACTGATCAACAATTCAGTATCATGTGTTCTATAAGAAAATGAAATTTCCGTGTGATGGGTTTGGAGTCTCCATTACTCCACACAACATATGATGGATCTTCCTGATGACAAGACACACAAACTCCGACACGGTCTTACGTTCAGGACGTGAAAGCCATGGTTATATTTTAAAGAAGTATCCCAAGTCTTACGTGTTCGAGATCGACATGCCAAGCCTGAAATTTGGGGATATTGAGTTTTAATTTAATTCGTTAAATTAATTTAAAAGTTATATTTTAAAGAAATTCTACGATATTCACTATAATTGTAAGATACTGGAATAATTATTTTATTTTTATTTTTTATTGCAATTAGTTATTTTATTTTTATTTTTATTTAATATTTTTAATAATTTATTTGTATAAACATTTTATATCTTTATATTATTTTTATATTTTTTTAATTTATATCTTAATGTAACATCTATTATAATTAAAAAGTTTAATATTAATATTTTATTAATATATTTTAGCTTTTTTTGTGATAATTTTTTTGAATTTACAGTATAAATTAGTTTTTCAATTTTATTATTTGTTTTTTATTTTAATATTTTATAATATTATTATAATTTTTAATTTTTAATTTTTTAATTTTGTCACATAAACAAAATTTGTTATAAAAATTGACCTTTTGATTATTTTTTTTTAAATTAGTCTTTTTGATTGATTCATTTTTATACAAATTTTTAATCTAAAATTTATTTATTTTGAATTTTTTTTAAAATTTATTTATTCACATAATTTGATGTACCAAAATCTTTCAATTTTTATGGGTACCATAGCAACTTCCTATATTTTAATCCTCTTATCTTTCACAATAAAATTTTCTCTCACGCTCTTATCTATATATATATATGTATGTATGTGTGTGTTAAAAACTTTAGTGTCTAAAAAAAGACTTTATAAAGTATATTTATTCTGAATATATGCGTATAAAATAAAAAATAATTAAAAATAATTAAAAATTATATATACATCAATCATTTTATAGCTATGAAAGTAGATAATTCAATTGATTTTTTTAAAATAAAATAAATTTATTCTCTTCTCCCCCTCCTAAATAAATTGAGCATGCTCTCCATTGTCACATACACTAGCATCGCTATGCGTGCAACCTGTAGCAACGTTTTTTTTTATAATTTATTTTAGAATATTAAATATTAAGTAAATTTACAAATAAAATAAAATAAAATATATTTGTCTAAAAATTATCTAAAATTTATCAAAAGTATACCTTAATTTTTTAAAAAATGAATCAGATTTCAAATTTATCTTAAAATAAAATATGAAAATAAAGATAAGTTAATTTAAGAAAAGAAAAAAAAAAGTATATACAAAATATCTGTTTAAAAATATACCTTAATTTTTTTAATATAAATATCTCTTAATTTTCAAAATTTAACAAATTTAAAAAACCTCGTGTCCGAAAGTTACCATATTTTAAAAAAATAAAGATAACTTAATTGAAAATACATGTTAAATTTTCAAAAATATATTTTAACTTTTTTTTAAAAAAGTAATGGATTTGTTCAAAAATATATCTTAAAATTTTAAAAAATATATCTGAAAGTTTTTAAAACATAATAGATTTTTTTATAACAAAAAAATAAAGAAATAAAAATTAAGTATAACAACGTAAAAAAAGAAAAAAAAATGGACCACTATAAACTAGAGCAACATGAAAAAATAAAAAAAAATAAAAAGTTTGGATTACTATGTGCTATAACAATTTTTTTTTTTCCATACGGGTTTATATTTTCTCACGGTGTTAATATGAAAATCGTTGACCAAACTAGTATTGCTATTGACTCCAACAATTCTCAAACGATGCCATGTAGAACTTTGATGTCATATTTAGTCAAAGAAATCATAAAAAAATATTTACACACAACAGAAGTATCACTATGAACCATAAGACACCACCTATTAACCACCTCAAAGACTTGAATTGTTTCAAAACAACCCTTTCTGGTAATATATTTCTAAAACTAACTTACAATGGTCAAAAAACCTTGTGATACTTTTAAAATTGCAAATTATATTCCAAATTCATAATTAAAACTTTTATTTGCATAAAAAATCATTTTTTAAACTAAATATCTCCTAATCAAGAAATAAAATCTAATCTCTTAAAATATTAAAATCTAATGGAGAAATTAACTTCTTTCATAAGATATCTTTCCATACACATTTTGAAAATTGAACCTTTAATCACATACTTAAAAAAAAGGTTATTTACCAATGATAAGATTATTTTACAATAGCAAAATCACGATGAAAATTTATCGAAATTAAAAACACAATTTAAACATACAATCTGCGAACAGTCCGGGAAAGTAGCAATTCTGCAGAGAAATCAAAAGTGAGACCATTTTTCTTTCTTTATCTGGTCAGATGAACAAAGAAACACGGTTAACCCTGTTGCTTAAAAGCTAATCACTATCGAGTCCATAAAAAAAAAACTACAGGGCTTGATAATCAAAAGCCATATCTATTTAAAGTTACAGTACTTGTTAACAGTTATTGTACACCGGATTGGATGGGCCAAATAACGCCCAACAAATTCTCATTCATTTCCGTAGACCCTTTTGATTGTAGAAATACTAAATACTAAAAAATGACTACCTAATCTACACAACTCAGTATTATGCTGCTTCTGGTGGTAAATCATGCACCAAAGGGCTCTCCTCTGCTTAGATTTTGCCATAGGAAGATATCTGGCCGCAACTTCCTTTGAGGCTCAACAAAATTTATAGTTCTATTATCATACATGTCACTTAGCTTCCTTGGTAGCAAACTACCATCATCCTTGCTTTCAACCAAAAAGGGGAAGCTTCAGAAATCATCATTGCCTTCATCTTTTGTTGTTGTATTAGGACCATCATCAAAACCTGAGCTAGGGGCAAGCTCATTCAAATCAAGGAAACGTCGCTTTGCGGTGCCCTCAACTTCCTCTTGACCTGGACTACTTGATTTTTCGGGAGGCTGATTTTGGTCTTGGTCTTGGTCTTGGTCTTGTTCCTTCTCCTCTGCAGCAGGATATTGGTTGTTCTCTTCTGCAGGATATTGGTTGTTTTCAGGAGGCTCAACTACTTTGGTTTCTTGGTCTTCGTCATCATTGCCATCTGAATCTTCACTTTCCATATTATAATCCCCATTCTCAGTAGGATCTGAGTGATCATCTGATGCATTAGACTTGTCAGGTTTAATGAACTCTGTTTCTGAATCAGACATCTCATACTGTCGGTAATTTATTTGGTTTCTTGTTGCCCTCTTACTGCGTCTTAGACCTGATTGAATCTCACCCACAGATCTGAGTTTAGTTCCCCTCCTGGTACGGCCTGGCAATCGCTTGATTTTTCGGGGCTTGTCACTGTCCTCACTGACACTCAAGGAATCTTCTTCCTCGTCATCTTCTTCTTCATCTTCAACATTATCTTCATCCCAATGGTATTCTTCATCTCCTTCAGAGCCAGAGCTACTAGAAGTCTTCCTTCTCTGCTTACGTTTTCGGAGATATTCTTCATCATATACAGCTTCTCCAACAATATCATCATCACTGTCATAGTCAGCCTCATTATCTGACACTGCTTCAACAAACTCTTTCTCTGAATACCGTTTAGGTCTCTGTCTTCTTCGATTGCTGATGTGAAACAGTTGTCAGTGACATAAAATACAAGGTCATCAGAAAAGTTTTGAAGGGAGAAAAATAAACTACAAACCTTCGATCCAACATGTCAGTTTCATTCTCTTCTTCCATATCATCAAAATCAGGTGATTTTGGAGATGGCATGCCAAAATTTAGATCTTGAGGATCATGTGAAGGACCACTCCATTTACCATTGGTTAAACCTTCAGGTTTTACTCCTGTTTCTCTCCTGGGTATAGGTTCTGGGGATGGTGGTTTCTGTCTGATAAAAGATAGAAACAGAACTAAACCGTGAGTACAAAGCATAACAGATGCACATGATTGGCCCCTTTTCTCTCTATATATGTAGCATAAAAAATAAAAAACAAATAAAAAAAAACACATCAAGAACAGACAAATAGAGGGACAAGAATGTAAGATCAAAAGATGCATTTCATACTTGGTTATCTTAATTGCCTCGTTGATGGATCGATCGTAATCATCTGCAATGACAGTGATGTCAAGTCAATGTAAAATCAGCAAATACTGATACTCAAGAAATAACTTTACTGTTGTCCAATCAAACATAAAATTAGGTAGTTCAGGTGAATTTTTTTTTTTTATCATAATTATAGCTAAACAGGAAGTTGACGTATAAAGTTGTATCCTGGATGCCCAATGAAACTGAGAACTTATTCATGTCCAAATAGGCTTACCACAGTTCACCACTATCAGTGCAGGGTACAAAGTTTAGTGATTAAGTTACTGTTTCATTAAAAATGTGGTTGCATGGAAAATAAAAAGGTTGACCATGGTAGCTATGCAAAATCCAATAGAAAAATTATCATATCCAATTACTCATTGGATGATCCAAAAACCGAAGTCAGCCATCAGAAAGTCCCAATAAATTATCTCTGTACTAGTGAACCAGCCGCCCCTGGTGGGTAAAGCTTTTTAGTCAACTAAAACCAGACATTCCCTTAGAAGAATGAAATAGATATTGGTTACCATATTCAGGCTACTTGCCCCAGAAGTTACCTAGGGTCCTAACATACCCATAAGAGCCCAATAATAAAAATACTGAGCTGTCTAATAAACTCCAGCAGTCCATGCAAAGAACACATGAAGAAAATAAAGAGGCTGTGAAAACAAAATCCAAACTACGATAAAACTTCTTACCAAAAGTGTAGGTAACAGGTTTCCTATCACGAAGTGAACGCCCTGGGGCAAGCCCATCAACACCCAAGAAATTATCAAGAAGAAGAGCTTGTCTGTGTTGTTTCTTCAGCAATTTCTCCTTTCTCTGCACAAGACAGGCCAATTTTGTCAGTTAAAAGCACAAAAGGATTCTTCATGGACCATATTTAAACATAAAAGAAGAGAAAACATGAACTTGAGTTCAATTCTCCGAATGCCCCATCTTCTCAATTTTCTCAACCCATGCCACCCATAACCTAAAAGAAAAGGGGGCCAGTAAACAAACACAAAAAACAGTACCTTGTGCTCTTTCTCAATTTCAGGGAGCATGTCTATCTTCACCTTCTTTCCTACAGAAACCTCCATTCTGTTTTTACTTGTGAAAAGCTTCTCCTGTTCAATCAAATGAATAAAAGAAAATAAGATGAAGCTCAACTAAAAAAGTTGCAATCTTTATGAAAAACGGCAGAGTTAGGTGATTCTTTCTTTTATTACTTCCCTTACTATGAAAATGGAAAGAAAGAAAATAATGGTCAATCCTATCACACACACATCAAAATTCCTGTTTTGTCTGTCCACCTTTTTGACATTGTCTGTCATTTTGTTAGGGTGTTATTTCTGATTTTGTACCTTCTTTCTTTTAATCAGAAGGACTTTAGCGTTAGAATCTCTTCATCCATCAGAAAAACCCAGCTGCCACACTCTGTTCACACCTCAGTGTTCTCTTTCAACAAATTTTCAGACTAATTCCCAGCATTTTCAGACTTTAGACAAAGCATTTTCTGGCCAAACATGTTCTTTTCCCAGGGGGCAGCCTCTGTTCTTTCTCAGGTCTTTGATCCACCTCTGCCCATATCTCTTTTGCATAGGTTATTTATTTTAAATAGTCTTTCCTTTCTATTTGATTATACTTGTTACTTATTTAACTATTTGTTTTTGTTTGAGCACATAATTGTGCCAGCATACAAACTTGTTAGAAAATTCTTATTAGTTACTTTTACACTTTTTTTATTAGATTAAATGCATTTTTTTTCCAGTCATGTTTCACGATTTCACATTTTGCCACCTACCATTCAAATTTGCACATTTTGCTGCCCCATTAGTTAACCACTGATATGCTACATTGATGAAATTGATTGCTAACATAGCATGTTTATTACTAATACAGTACATTATGTCACATTATCATTTGTATATACATCATCAATCATGTCAACACTCAACATGTCACATCAATAGTTAACTAACGACGTCAAACAATCAACTAACAGGGTAGCAAGATATACGAAAATTTGAAAGTTAGATAGCAAAATATACAAATTTAAAAGTTGGGTGGAAAAATTAGCGAAATTGTAAAACATGGGTGGATTATGCTTATATTTCTGGGTATACCACTTCTCAGCTTCAATTTTTCTGTTTGATGATTGACTTGTTAATTATGCTTTAGACTGACGGTGATATTATGCCTATACATAACCTCTGATTATTAAAGTTCAATATGTCTTTGGTTTTGGCTAGTTTTATTTTGGAACATTTAAATGTGTAGTATGTATTATTTATGGTGTACACATAATCCTTGGTATAGCAGCCATCCTGCCATCCACTATTTCATTATAGTAATTTTGGGATCAGCAAGATTGACAACTACGATTAAATGTTTTTATAACTCAATGACAGGCTAAATCTTTTGCAATAATGAGAGTCACTTCACTTGGTTTAATGCCTCGGTAATAACAAAAATATCTGCTACTTCAGAAATCAACTCATTTGTTTTGAGAGAGCAAACTGTGCTTCTTGCATCCAAGGTATTATTCTCAAGATTTTCTCTAAAACATATCAAACAGAATAACTTTTTCATTCTCTTTTTTTTTGCCCTTTTTGTTTCTCATTGCTTATGCATGTGCTCTACAGAATGAGTTATACATGTAGTACTTGCTCCACTTCAATAAATTTCTCTTTCGACCAAAATAAATTAGGTAAAGGTTTCAATTGATAATATAAACTAACAACAAAGCTCTAACATTAATTTTCTGTTACTAGTTAACTCAAATTCTCAGACACAAGATTTTTCAATTCATTTATTGATACTTCAGAAAAGATTATTATTCATTTTTAGCAATGTGAATAAAAGTTTTGATCTTTGTTATTTTTAGGTTTGATCAATAATTTGTGAATCTAATGGTTTCATTCAAGGACAACAATTAATTTTGCATTTTCTACTAAATAACAGTTTCCTATTCAATAAGTTCACTTATAACTTAAGTTAGGGTTTCTAAATCATAATATAATTAGCATCAGATGGTGATTCCAGATATTACAACACATTAATTTACTTATTAATCTATCATGTAATTCATTATCTAGTTCTAAGCCTATAACTCAGAAGTCCCAGTTCCAAGCATAACACAGAACAATTGTTAAAACACCCCTGCTGAAAATAGATAGATGAGCTTCAATAACTTACAGAAACATCCTGAAATTCATCAAAATTGGTAGCAACTGTTTCCCATTGGTAGGTTGTATTAGAAAAAACCTGGGAACCCCTTGGTTTCCCTTTCCTCAATTGAACCACCTCAGTTTTCCTTATTTCCCGATACAACCTATGACCAATAACTGGGTCATCTTCATACCTACATGAATCAAATGCCATGTGAATAAAATGCTAAAACAGACATAAATATACATAAACTTTCCAGCATGACAGTTCAAATTTTGAACAGGTTGAAGTGAAAGCACATATATATTACCAATAAGAAACTCCATGCGAATCACCACCAATACGCTCCTTACGGAATGTCGAAAGTTGAATCCCGCGTTTGATTGAGCTGTCAATGAAACCTCTGATATCTTCTTGCTGCAAAATACTAGTCAAGTTTAATCATGTACATTACCAAGAGGGATGATCAGTGTAAGATATGTCAGTCAGGTGAATGATTTTGCCCCTCAATCTGCCTAAATGGATGCACTTAGGTTTCCCTGCACTCCCCCCATTATTTTTTCCAAACACCCCCAAAGAAAGTTATTGCAGAATACGGCCATGCATCTCAAGGAATCTGTGAATTGTATTACAAGACAAACAATTGAAGCTGATCATCACACCCTTGTTAAATACACAAGCCCAAAGAACAGCCCACTGCGAAAGACAGAGGATAAGTAAACCTAAAAAGGGTGGTTGCAACTTGAACACAACCAAGCAAGCAAAAATTATGAATAAAGGATAAATATCATGTATAGATCATAAAGGCAAAATTTTCATAGATCCAAGCTAAACTCAAGTGTCCTCATCCTACCATACTGACATTCACCCAATCAAGGAAAAGGAATATAAGAAACATAGATACATAAATGTTAAATAGGAAGAGTACCTCAACACGAATGTCACATAATGCTTTTAAGATGACCACACGAACCCCTGGATCAAGTGATTTATATACTTCAACCTCCACTCTGTCATGTCAGCATAAAATGAGACTTCGTAAACACAAAGTGGATTTTAGATATTGCAAGACTTACTGATTACTTACCCATGTGAAGCAACAATAGGAAGATCCCCATCTGCAACCTGCATTTGAATTCCATTTCTTATATTAGCTCTTGAAACTACAAAATGATACATTATTCTGAATTATCAGTTTGCTGAATATAAAATGCCTCATTACCCAGTGCCACCAATCTCTCAATTTTCTGCATAATACAGTTATCCATGTATCACGTGAGAGTGCCATTCGTGTAATGGGAGGAATTGCCTATTAAAAGATAGAATTAATGTTATTAACAGACCAGCAGAAATTTTGCAAACCTGTGATATTGCTTACAGAAGAAAGTATTGATCTTGCAGACATTGAGAGGGATCAGTGCCCTGTAACTCTGTCTTAAAAGATAATGTCAAACAACTCTTACAAGCTCTTAAACTGCAATATATCTATCTATCCACTCACAAAAGAGACTAAGCAAAATTGATACTATTATAATATTTAATCCAAGTTTAAAAACATAAATGAGTTCTAGTATCGCCAAAGCTTTGATAACCCACTCTGCACATAACTCAATAGGTGAAGGACCAGTGGAAGTATAGACTTTATTGTGAGAGAGATGGAGTTCATTGCACTACTGCAGCTTAAAATATAAAACTTCAAGCACTTCTGCAAGATTTGGAAGTGTAAGACCAATAACATTAACCAGCCTAAACTTTCTCACTCCCCAGTCCCCAGTATCTCTGTATCACTTATCAACCTATGTACCCCCTAGCATACAAGTAAAAGGCCCGGGCATGATTTGTCATTATAATAACCAAAAATTTAATTTCAAAACAATTCAAGTACCACAGTTTTGATCAATTCATCTCCATCCACAAACTTATTATGTCATTGATGTGTAGAATATGTACAACCCCTAATACAAACACTTTCTCATTGTAGCACAGGATTTTCAATACAGAGCTAAATCCTCAAACATTTTACTGAATAATTTTCCCACAATATTTAAATCTGCTAGGAAGCTACAGTTCAAGTAAAAAAAATTGCAATAAGAATTAGGCACAACAAAGACTCGTCTCAAAAGTTCTGAACTTCAGAGTAGGCCATCTTCAGTAATTTCTGTGAGGATGCCTAAACACTTTATAAACTGTCCAGCAAATTATACATCTGCATCTTGTAATAATGATCATGATTATTTTTGAGATTGATTTAAACTCAGAAAATTGGGAATAGGTCAAACAAGGCTGAAACCCAGTAAAAATATTCCACAGGTACATTTGGAAAATGTAACCATTTGATACAGCATATTACTTTTTACTTAAAAAGAATAGTTATAATTAAACAAGACTTAATGGTTGCACATTTACACACTATCCTTCTACAGTGAAATGGGACTCTAAATCAGAGCAGAAAGCACACAGAATCATCAGAAGTCCACAGTTTAACACTTAAGTGCAAGGAACAACGCATTATCTTTTTCAAAAGAAAAGGGTTTCTCATACAAGCAACAAAAACCTCCAATCAAGTACCTTCTTTGCACTTGCCAATTTCTGTCGAGCATTGAATTCAGTAGCAAAACAATCATGTCCTCTCACTATTTTATTGGCCAACTATTTTGTGGCCATGAGTCCATCAAACAAGCAATGCACTTACAAACTCCATATTTGTCAGTGTTTTGTTTTCAGTTCCTTCCATCAATTTCCCAGATTCCAAAAATTTCAACCACCCCTTTGAATAAAGACACATTCCAACAGACAAGTAGTGACTTGTACTCAAGTTTATCATTCGGATCCAACCCATTCACTTAGAAAATTTGCACAAGTTCTCACCTTTCTCATTTTAATTACATTCCCAAAATATACAACTGGATTTAAGCTTACACTAACCAAAGCAAATGTCCCATTGCACACTATATTCCCTTGCAACCGCAGCAGCCTCCTAATACCCTACAGTAACAAGAACTCCACTTCATAGCTCCAAATTTCTCTCACACCTAGCAATGGCCCTCAACAAAACTAGCACAAAACTACTACACCAAACTCAAGCCAGGCACGCAGTCATAACCACAAACTCCTACAAACTCAGCCAAATTCAACAAAAGCACAAAAGTGCAACATCCTACAAACTCCTAACGGATAACAACAAACACAAAACTAACACAGCCCACAAAGACTAGGACTTAGCAGCTATAAGGTCCTATAAAACAGAAGAAAGAAGAAATGCAGTACACACACAAGAACAAACCAAAGGGACAAAAAAATCATAAAGCACCAACCTTTAACAAAGGCATATGTATATCACCCAATGTGTCATTGGGGGTGAGCAAAGCCGTCTCAAACTCTTCAGCCGAGAATTCTACTGAAATATTCAACAAAGGCCTAAACAGCTGAACAACGACAAAAACCTTAGACCCGTTGAATGCATAACAAACCAAATGAAAAGGGAAAAAAAAATAAAAAAGCAAAACAGTTCCTAAGCTCACGTTCAAAAAATTGAGTATTGAAGCCAATTCCCACATCGACCGGAGGTTATAGCGCGGCAACTGCGCCGGCGTGGGAGGCTCCACCAGCGGCGTCACGATCTTGCTGCATTGCTGCGGCTGCGGCGGCGACGGCGGCGGGGACTCCTCGCGGCGAGGCTCCCTCTTCGCGGCCTTGGGCCTCGCCGGCTGCGACGCCGAGTAGAGACGCGCGGCGGCGCGAATGGTGCAGGCGCGGGAGGGGCGGTTGCGCGTGGGGGCGGGAGGAGCGGCATCGGCGGCGGCGGCGGTAGCGGTGGTTTCCTCCTTGTGCGAATCGGGTTCGGCGGCGTCCTGCGGGGGAGGGGGAGATCCTTGGGACATGGTGTGAGAGAGAGATCAAAAAGGGTTTTAGGTTAGGTATGGTGGGATTACACGTAGAGGATCATATTCGTTGGTTAGCATTGAAGACGGAAAATCAAAGTGGAGAAGGGGTTGTAGAGAGAGAAGGGAGGAGGGAGCACTTGTTTCTTTTTTTTTAGAGAGAGAAAGTATGAATGTGCGGAAAACAAAATTTTGGAGCACTGTTTTTTTTTCTTTAAGGGGACAAAAGAAAGGGTCACAAACCCTCAAACTCTAAGGAGCATGTGCCTATGTGTGCGTCTGCAAATATAGGGAACTCCAGGAACCAGAGAGAGATGGATTGAGAGGGTCACAAACACACTACCAGAAATTTGGGTTTCAAGTTTTTTCTTCTTCTTTTTTTTCTTTTTTTTTTTTATGGTACGGTCGTTGTATTTTGTTTTGTTTTTTTGATAAAGGTTGTTATGTTTTTGTTTGAGTTATGCTGGTAATTGATTTTAATTTTCGTTATTATGTCTGTCTTGTTTAAATTAAATAACTGATTTTTTTTCTAAACGAGAGGAAAATAAGTACTTATGTATGTGTCATTTGTTTCTCTTTCCATATTCCAACTCCATGTTCGATTTGACCTAAGCATGCTGGAGTAGAGTGATGAATTTCAAATGTTCCCCTCTGGGCTGAAGGGAACCAGGTTGCATTTTGCAAATTCTGTATATAGAATCTTGAAATCTTGACACACAAAATAAACTAAATCCCCTTTTCTTTTGGCCCAAATTACGTGATAATATTTCTATTCTAAAAACTAAATCTATATGGGTGCAGAATTATCGTAGACCCATGTCCTATAAGGTCCTAGATCACAAGATCAGTAACATCTTGCAACGTTTCATGGATGACGTGGATCGGATTTCACGGAAAAAAAAAATCATTCCATTTAATTACTTTACTTTCCTTAATTTATTTATCATTTTTTTAAATTATAATTTGATTCGATTATATATACCTGGTAGAAAATAGGCACACTAATGTCCTTCAAAGTAGAACTCCTTTCTCTTCGTATCTCTCGTAGGTCGAGAGGTTTTTAGCGGAAGAAGGCTCCTATAATGACATTTCTAACATTTAAGTTACAGGTATAGGAAGAAACATATTATTTGTTATTGTTTACGGTGGAATTTGTTTACGGATTCTTTATATTCGGACTAGCACGTAAATGGTTTCAATTTAGGCATTTAATTTAAAAACATAAAATGGAACAGACAATGGAGTAGGAAGATTTAGTGATTACTTGTTTCTAAAGATTCTTCAATAATTAACAAGCAATAATTTCCAGACATATAAATGCTAAGATGAACAGAATGGATAATTGAGATATTTACAATACAAATCATGGTTCAACTTACATAACGTTCCAGAATTACAATACTGAAGTAATCTAACTACGTGGGTTTAAAAGAGATAAACTAAGAAAACTACGCTAATTCTACTCCTAAAAAGCAAAGAAAAGTGGTCAAGAAATTGGTACCCAGCAGATACTTGCACGGAAGCCATATGCGCAGACAGAGAGTGCTTACAGAAATGTGAGTATGAAATTTCTGACCCCTTGAAAGTACATATTTCTTCGTGTTTATAGAGGCAAATGAAGGTGGTTAATTTTAGTGCATGTGCGTCATGGAAAGGTAACTGCCATCCACTATGCCCAATAGGTGGTTTTAGAATGTAACCTCTCGTAACCGCTCATTCCACTCTTTTTCTTTTCACTTCGATCCATTTTTCGTTAACCGTTCTGAGATAACTACTCACTACTTGGAAACCTTCAGTAATTTCCATCTTTTGAGCACTTCTCAGTTTGATTCGACTCATTTTTTCGACTATATTTTGAATACGGACAGCTTGAGCTTTTGATACTTCCTGAAACTCCTGAATGTGCTTTTCGAGTTACCTGGTCTTCGAGTGATCCTAACAGTTATGATTACATAGATTTTATTGTATAGTTAGAAAATATATTACCATTTATCAATTAGTTTTTTTTAATAATTATTAAGGTTAGTCTAGTGAAAAAAAATTAAAATAATATGTATAGTTAGAATGGACTTTAGGATAGATTAATTGAGTATCTAACTAATTTCTAACTTCTTACTCAAGAAAGTATCTTATATATATAAAGTAATTTATCTCTCTATGAGATATTCAAGTTTTATCTAGTACATAAATTTCTAAGTCATAAATTTTTAATGAAAAGACTTTCTTTCAACATAATTGAATACTTAAGAAGACATTCGAGTTAAATAGGTTATTTTAAAATTATCATGCACGTTTTATTAGACACAATGTTTCCCTTCCCACCTGTTGGGCTTACTCGAAGATCTGGGCTGATTCGCAGATCAAATAACTCGAAAAGCACACTCATGAGGTTCAAGGAAAGTATTAAAGGCTTAAGTTATCTGTACTCGAAATATACTCGAATCAATGAGCCAAATCGAACTGAGAAGTGCTCGAAAAAGTGGGAATTACTGAAGGATTCCAAATAAAGTAATTACCTTAGAACAGTCAGTTGAAAAGTGATCGAAGATGTCTAATAGACGCACTAGAGCGGTTATTAAAAGCACAGAAATAGAACACGTGGGAAAGGTGGTTAGAAGAAGTTACATACGGAGAAGTTGCATAACTCATACCCACGTCAAACATAATGGATAGCGGTTACACCTTACAACACTCAAACTCAAATTTTAACCGCTATTTAGTCAGTTTATAAATAGGAGTATTAACCTCGTGCACAAGGTCGGAAAACTCATACTAAGACTGTAATCTGAAGCACTCTTTTGCCTGCGCATATGGCTTTCGTGCATGTGATTGTTTTTGGGTATGGTTTCTTCTCGGCCACATTTCTTTTCTCTTTTTAGGAGTAGTTGTAGTGTAATTCGTTCTTCCTATTATCTATTATCGTGTAGTTCTAGTATTCTGACATTGTAATTCCTGTTAATTAATTAATTATGCAAATGAACCATGATCTGTATTGTAAATGTATCCATCGTTCATTATGTTCATTTAAGGCTTTA